TCGGAAAGTTTCGTGAAAATCGGTTCAGATTTAGATGTAGCCATATGGGAGCTATATCTAAATCTGAACCGATTTTTCCTAATTTCAATGGGGTTCGTCCTTGGGCCAAATGAATGAGCTGTGTCAAATTTCATGCGATTCAAAAATGCGTTGTTTACAATTTAACATGGACAGACGGACGGACATGCATAAAGTGATTCTATGCATATTCTCAAAAGGAACCATATGTCTATCTCGTTTCCTTTTGCCTGTAACAAACATATGCACTAAGACATAGTCTCAATTTAGATTGGGCGAGTTTACTTGCGGCAAGTCTTTGTTTGCAGGAGAGAGGGGAAAGGGGAATAGAATTTGAAAAAAATTGCCCGTACCGACAATTTTCTGGCAATTCGTTTTGTGTATTTTGTTTGTAGTGTCAGTAATTTGAAATACCAATCCAGAACATTGTCACAAAATGTAAAAAAAAAATATTTTTTTGAAACCGAATTGCCTTGTATAGACGCATGAAGCAAGTTCAAAAGAGAACGATAAAAATTGCCGCAAGTAAACTCGCCTAATCTAAATCAAGACATATGGAAGATTTTTTCACTTTCTGCAAATCCTTGCTCTATAAAAAAAGTTTTTAAAATTATCTATGTTTGTATGACTAATACCACTCATTACGAAAACAAAAATATGATGAAATATTTAAAAAAAAATTGTTAAAAAAATACCCAAATAAATAGCAATCACATTTCGTCCAAATAAAGATGCGAAAGATGAGTGGTGGTATTAATTAAAATAAAATAAATTTGGCGAGTTTAGTACCCCGAGACCACGAGTCAGCTATGTATGAGTAAGCGCGATTCGTGCTTCTACGATGGAGTGCCTGCCGGCTTCGGTCACCACGATGATACCACCATTTCACACCAAAGTGTTAAAATTATGTTTTTTTGTAAAATAAAAAAAAACTCTACGTAAAAACAACAAAACACAATCGGGAATCTGCAAAATTTTCTATAAAAATCGTATTCGCAATAATATTGAAAATCATAACATCAGAGTTAATCAAGCGCAGCACAACACATAATAATCAGAAAGAAAGAAAGAAAAAACAATTGCAAGCAAAGAAATTTGAAAATTTCGTAAACATTTTTTTAAAGCATTTTTTTCAAGAAATTAATAAAAATAACAAAAAAACAAAGCGCATAATTTTTATAAAATAAATAAGGGAAGCCCAGGAAAAGAAAACGCAATCTTCAAAAACACAAAAAACTTTTGGATAATTTTCTCAACAATAAATTTAAAAATACGACAGCAGAAACATGCAGATAATGGTGAGTTTTGAATCATCTTTTTTTTTAGAAAAAAATCATATAAATTGAAATATTGAATGGCATGTGGAATATGGAAATGTGGTTGCAGTTTCAAAGGAATTTAGAATTTTTATAAAAGATTGGAATGGAAATATTTCATCGACTATTGGAATCGGAACATCAAATTTTGATAACATTACTTCAACCTTAAAATACCAATCGATTTATTGGCCTCAGAAACAGCTGATATAGCGGCAATTCTTACTTCTATATTTTACCTTTTAATCAGATTCTATAAAAAAAAAAAATTCAATATATATCTTAAAAATATTTCACTCTCAGTCTCAACTGAAACCACATCTTCCAATACCATATCCCACAATTCAATACACATTTTTTTTTTAATTTTATCAAATTCACTTACTAATTTTCTTTTTTCTCTTTTTCAGCCTTCAATCAGCTACCTTCTTCTCCTGGTGGTGCTAATCACAACCACAATCAGCAAAGTTTTCGCCATGCCAGCCAGACAAGCCGACGGCCTTATTGATAGTTTAAAAACCGGTTATTATTATATTGATAATGGTGCTATTACAGCCATATCTCCCGATACACTAATAACAATTGCCAGTGCTTCATCAGATGTGCCAGCGGGTAGAAGACGTCAGGACACAGTCTCCTCTTCAAAGGATAAACAATCGGTGAAATTTAAGCCCGTGGTGCGCTACAAGCAACAGAAAACCAAACGCAAGAAGTTGTTTGTACCCAACTTCTTTGGTTAAATGTCACCCATCATCTCCCTATCCCAAATCGGAAGAAACAGTCTTGTAGTTTTTTAGCAGTAACCACAACAACAATAATAATTATAAGAAAACATATTTATGCACATATAAGACTGTAGACTATTAAGGTCTAAAACAAATAATTATTATAGCTTTTAATTCACCCAACCACATTGCCATTATAAATTATTGTAAATAGTTTTTAATTATTTTCTTTTTAAGTTAAATTCTTTGCCATAGATTTAAACAAAAAAATATTATAAGAATTAAGAAAAATAGTTTTAAATATTTCCATAAGATATTTTAATATTTAAGCAATTTTTTATAATGTTATAATTATTTCGGAAAAAAATATCTTTTTTTATAAGCAGAACAAAAGCAACAATAAAAAGTTAATAGAAAAGCAAAATTTTAAAATGTATTTTGAACACAAAAACTTAAGGCATTGATTTTTTAAAGAATACGATCCTATTTTTTAAGGAATATTTTTTCAATCAATATTTATAAATGAGAACTATATCTAAATTGACATCGATTTCAATAAAACTTGACACATGTTAGGCTATACTAAAGTGCCAATCGGCCTAAATTTGACTCATTTGACTACGTTGTACCAATCGCCTTAAATTTGACTCGTTGGGGCACAATTCACTAAAAATCGGACGAAAATATATATGGGTGCTATATCTAAATCCGAGCCGATTTCAATAAAACTTGGCACACCTTAGGCTATCTATATTTCAGTCCGTTGTGCAAAATTTCGTGTCTATCGCCCTAAATTTGACTCTTTGGTGCACAATTCACTAAAAATCGGACGATAATATATATGTGAGCTATATCTAAATCTGAACCGATTTCATTAAAACTTAGCACACGTTATACTGTCCTAACTTCAGTACTTTTTACAAAATTTCGTGCCATTTTGCCTAAATTTGACTCTTTGGTGCACAATTCAAAAAAATCGGACAAAAATATATATGGGAGCTATATCTAAATCTGAACCGATTTCAATAAAAGTTGGCACACCTTAGGCTATCCCAATTTCAGTCCGCTGTGCAAAATTTCGCACCATGCGGCCTACAATTGACTCTTTGGTGCACCATTTTCTATAAATCGAACGAATTTATATATGGGAGCTAGATCGAAATCTGAACCGATTTTTTCCAATTTCAATAGGGTTCGTATTTGAGCCAAACAAATGGGCTATGCCAAATTTCATCCAATTCGGATCATAAATCCCACCTGTAATTTGTTTACAATTTAACATGGACAGACAGACGGATGGACGGACGGACATGCATAAATCGACTCAGAAAGTGATTCTATGCATATTCTTAAAAGGAACCATAGTCCTATATCGTTTCCTTTTGTCTGTTACAAACATATGCACAAACACATAATACTCTGTACCACAGTTTGGTAAAGGGTATAAAAATCCAAGCCTTATGAGAGCCTTGAAAAAATATTCTTTGAAAGATCCAGGCCTTATATGAGCTTTGAAAAAATATTCTTTAAAAAAACCAGGCCTTATATGAGCATCGAAAAAATATGAGCCTTGAAAACATATTATTTAAAAATCCAGGCTTTATATAAGCATCGAAAAAATATGAGCCTTAAAAAAATATTCTTTAAAAAATCCAGGCCTTATATGAGCATCGAAATAATATGAGTCTTGAAAAAAAAAATCTTTAAAAGATCCACGCCTTATATGAGCATCGAAAAAATATGAGCCTTGAAAAATATTCTATAAAAACTCCACGCCTTATAAGAGCCTTGAAAAACTATTCTTTAAAAGATCCACGCCTTATAAGAGACTTGAAAAAATATTCTTAAGAGATTCACGTCTTATAAGAGCCTTGAAAAAATATTCTTTAAAAGATCCACGCCCTATAAGTGCCTTGAAAAAATATTCTTTAAAAGATCCACGACTTATGGGAGCCTTGGAAAAATATTATTTAAGGAATCCACGCCCTATGGGAGCCTTGAAAAAATATTCTTTAAGAAATCCACGGCCTTGAAAAAATATTCTTTAAGAAATCCACGCCCTTGAAAAAATATTCTTTAAGAAATCCACGCCCTTGAAAAAATATTCTTTAAGAAAAATATTCTTTAAAAGATCCACGCCTTATAAGGGCCTTGAAGAAAGGTTCTTTAAGAAATCCACGCCCTATGGGAGCCTTGAAAAAATATTCTTTAAGAAATCCACGCCCTTAAAAAAAATATTCTTTAAGAAATCCACGCCCTTAAAAAAATATTCTTTAAGAAATCCACGCCCTTGAAAAAATATTCTTTAAGAAATCCACGCCCTTGAAAAAATATTCTTTAAGAAATCCACGCCCTTGAAAAAATATTCTTTAAGAAATCCACGCCCTTGAAAAATATTCTTTAAGAAATCCACGCCCTTGAAAAAAATATTCTTTAAGAAAAATATTCTTTAAAAGATCCACGCCTTATAAGGGCCTTGAAGAAATGTTCTTTAAGAAATCCACGCCCTATGGGAGCCTTAAAAAACTATTCTTTAAAAAATCCACGCCTTGTGGGAAAAAATCCACACCTTATTGGAGCCTTGAAAAAATATTCTCTAAAAAATTCACGCATTGTGTTGATTCTTGAAAAATATTTTTAAATTAAATTTTTTCTCGCCTAAGGTTAGTCCTTGAAATACAAAAAAAAAGCATTTATTATTTATTTTTGTTTTTCTATTCCAAATAGTTTTTTATATTTTAAATTTAAAGCCAGCTTTTTTCAAACAATAATTATTTTACATTTTTATAATTTAAAAACAATTTATAATAATAATAACAATAGTAATAGTACTAACAATAAAACAACGAGATAACAAAATTTGCATTTTCAAAATACAAATATCAGTCTGATCTCTCTCTGATCACCAAAGCAACACTTATACTGCCTCTCTCTCTTTCGTTTAGCCAAAGAAGTTGGGTACAAAAAGCTTCTTATGTTCCGTATGCTGTTTGCGATAATGCACAATGGGTGTATAGTAGCTATAATGACTGTAACCGGTATCCGGATCATCAGAACGTCTAACGGGTACAATCGAACCATTATCAATGTAGTAGTAGCCGCGTTTTAAACTTGAAAGAATATGAGATGATTGTTCAGTGGAACGTCTGGGTGCATAATCCGAATAGTCATCATTGTAAATATCATAGGTGGGCTTAGCAGTGATTTCCGTGGCAAAGGTCATGATGAAGAATAAAGTGAAAGTAATCCATTTGGTGGTTTTGGGGAGCTGTAGGGGGGATGAGAAAAATTAATTGTATAACAGTTAGTATAACAGCTATAAAAAATTATGTAAATATTTTTCAAGAAGTCTAGAAATTTCTTGTGGGGTATGATTACTCACCTTGAACATTTTGATTCCGCTGCGGTTTAAAGAGTAAAGTAATTTGAATTGATGATGAATTTTGTCCGATCTCCGTTTTTGTTTTTGTAATCCTTGTTTATCCTTGTTTCAGCAGTTATTCCTTTTTGTTGAAATTGTGAAATAATCCAATTTTTGTAATTTTGATTTGATTGTTATTTTTTTATAAGTCCGTTATTGAATTTGAAGTTGCTGTTTTTTCTTAGAACATCGATTGCCTTATGTAGTATCTGGCTTAAATTCTAGCCGCTATTTATAATAAAATTCCCTGCCAGCCAAAAATCGAAAACCCCAAAAAACAACAAAAACATATTTCACTTATCTTCTTTGTAAATGTCAATATTATTTTTTAATTTGATTTTCGCACCAGTCTGTGAAATTGGCAAACAAAAAAACAGAAATCGACAAAAAATACGCACCCAAACAAACAACTGTTGTTGGTGGGTTCATTCATAAAAATGTTGAGAGTATTATGTACGAACAAATTTATTCATGTTGCTAATACAAAGTGCATTTCAATATATTCTTAATTCTGTTGTGTCTGAAAGAAAAATATTAATCGACTAGAATTTGAACTTGGTCTCTGAGTCAACTGTAGGGTTTAGGGAGAAGGCGCACAGATGTGGCAGAGTTCAATGACGTCGGTTGTTATTGTTTATATTTTTTTATAAAATATAATAATAAATTTGTTTTTATTTATATTATTTTGTTTATATATTGACAAGTAAACAATATTTTATTTTTATTAAAATTAGAATGTCTTAAGGTCATTTAAGAACTAGCAAGAATTTGTAGAACCTACCTTAATATGGCGGGGTGGTTGTTTACGCCAAAATTTATAATATAATAAAATTAGTATCGGTGTTATTTTTAATACTACTAATTTAAAACAAATAAAAAAAATCAAATTATTAAATTTTAATTTTTAAACATCCAAACATTAAATACTATTCAAGCCCTATCTAAGGCGTGGATTTTTAAAATAATATTTTTTTCAAGGCCTATCCAAGGCGAGGATTTTTTTAAAAAGAATATTTTTTCAAGCCCAATCCAAGGCGTGGATTTTTTTGAAAAGAATATTTTTTCAAGGCCTAATCGAGGCGTGGATTTTTAAAAGAATATTTTTTCAAAAAAATCCGCCAAAAGGCATGGATTTTTAATAGAATATTTTTTCAAAAAAAAAGGCGTGGATTTTTAAAAGAATATTTTTTTCAAAAAAATCCGCCAAAAGGCGTGGATTTTTAAAAGAATATTTTTTCAAAAAAATCCGCCAAAAGGCGTGGATTTTTAAAAGAATATTTTTTCAAAAAAATCCGCCAAAATGCGTGGATTTTTAAAAGAATATTTTTTCAAAAAAATCCGCCAAAATGCGTGATTTTTAAAAGAATATTTTTTCAAAAAAATCCGCCAAAAGGCGTGGATTTTTAAAAGAATATTTTTTTCAAAAAAATCTGCCAAAAGGCGTGGATTTTTAAAAGAATATTTTTTCAAAAAAAACCGCCAAAAGGCGTGGATTTTTAAAAGAATATTTTTTCAAAAAAAAAAACCGCCAAAAGGCGTGGATTTTTAAAAGAATATTTTTTCAAAAAAAATCCGCCAAAAGGCGTGGATTTTTAAAAGAATATTTTTTCAAAAAAAAATCCGCCAAAAGGCGTGGATTTTTAAAAGAATATTTTTTCAAAAAAAATCCGCCAAAAAGGCGTGGTTTTTTAAAAGAATATTTTTTCAAAAAAATCCGCCAAAAAGGCGTGGATTTTTAAAAGAATATTTTTTCAAAAAAAAAAATCCGCCAAAAAGGCGTGGATTTTTAAAAATTATTTTTAAACATCCAGCCAAAGGCCTGGTGTTTTAGACGTCTGATCGATCCGAGGAGCGAATATCGATTCGGACCATTTCCTTGTGGCAGCCAAGGTACGCACCCGTCTTAATGTAGCAGCAAAGGTGCGATCTAACAGAACACGGAAACTCGACGTCGAAAAGCTGCAAACACAACAGGTAGCCGAGGCCTACTCCGCTCAACTTACCCACCTGCTTGAAGAAAGCACTTCTTGTCCCGATAATAGTATAGAAGCACAATGGCAAAGAATTGCCCACTCCCTACAAAATGCAGTAAAATCAACACTTGGGTACTTGGTGGTTAATGCTAGTGATCTGAAAAACGCAGCGTATAGGTCAACCCTGCAGACAGTAGCAACACGTAATGTGATGAAGAATTATCGGGTGAAAAGGAGAGGGGAGAAACGTGTTTTCAGAGAAAAGAAGAAAGAGCAAGAAAAAACGTGAGCGTGAGCAAATCGAGATGTACAGGAGTCAGAATGAAGTCCGAAAATTCTACCAACGGGTAAAATACCAAAGCGAAGGTAAAATACCAAAGCAGGTACATCCTTCTGTAGAGATGACGAAGGAAACCTGGTGACAGATACAGACAGCGTGTTGAGGATCTGGAAGGAGCTTTTTGAAAAGCTTCTGGTATCAAATATTGGCGGTGAAGAAGACACTCTAGAGCAATAAGAGATGATGGTATAGAGTGTATACCACCTAGCCAAGATGAGGTCATAAAAACAATTAATCGGCTCAAGAACAATAAAGTAGCAGGAGCCGATGGGTTACCAGCCGAACTATTCAAGACTGGTGGCCAGATGCTGGTCAGGAGCATGCACCAGCTGATTAGTACAATTTGGCTAGAGGAATGCATCCCCAATGATTATTCTTCCTTCCGAACTGTTAAATCCACAATTGACCAGATTTTCACTCTGCGCCAAATCCAAATCCTGGAAAAGACCCACGAAAAACACATCGACACATACCACCTATTTGTCGACAATAAAGCCGCATTCGACAGCCCTATCCATTCAGAGGTGTTTAAAGCCATGTCTACGTTCCTGCAAAATTGATACGGCTATGCAGGAAAACTTTAAGTGGCACAAGGTCAGCAGTTAAAGTAGGAAAGGACCTATCGGAGCCCTTCAATACCGAACGAGGATTCACACAAGGTGACAGTTTGTCGTGTGATCTTTTTAACATCCTGCTGGAAAAGATCATACGAGAGTCAAAAGTGAACAGAAATGACACTCTGTACACCAAACAACACCAGTTATTCGCCTACGCCGATGACATCGATATAATGGGTCGAACATTGCAAGCGGTAACAGCCACCTTTGAATAAATTAAAAAGGAGTCTGCCAAAGTGGGTCTGGCAGTAAACGGCGAAAAGACCAAGCTGATGGTATCAACGCGCAAGACTTCCAGTAGACTCGGACCAACTGTGGAACATGAGAACTACAGCTTCGATGTAGTCAAACATTTGTATATACCTCGGTACCGCCATAAATAAAACTAATGACATCAGTTTTGAAATTCAGATTGCGATGGCCAACAGATGCTACTATGGTCTAAGTAAGCAGTTTAGAAACAAGGCCACCTCCCGCCAGACCAAACTCACACTTTACAAGACGCAGATACTACCCGTGCTGTTATATGGATCTGAAGCATGGGTACTTGCGCAAGCAGATGAGGCAGCTCTTGGGGTGTTTGAAAGAAAAATTCTCCGAAAGATCTGTGCGCCATGTTGTGCGAATGAATGAGAATGCCGCAGCTCAAAAGGCATATAAAAGCGAGCCTACTGATGGTTCCCGTAGAAGGGGAATGCCAAGAATTAGATAGAATGAAGTAGAAAACAATATCTTGGAACGTGGTCTTCCAAATTGGTGGAATACTTCCGACGCGCTTGGAAATCTTCTTTAGGTTCGGCTTATATAACAACCGTTCTGCAACAAGCCAGCTAAGTAAGTAAGTAAGTAAAAAAATTATATTATGGAAATTTTTCTCAAAAAATAATTATAACAAAACAGCAAAAAAATACGATAGGATATAAAACATATTTTATGTGTTTATACCTTAAACAAATAACAACACTATTAAGTTATAATAAATGCTAATCAAAAGAAAATAGTTCGCAAAAAACACACAACCAAAAGAAATGTTGGTAATAAAAGAATAAAAAGAACACACACGCAATCAATAATGCAAAATACCATAAAACGATGAAGTTTTTCAATAAAACGTGACGGATATTAAATAGACCATATGATGTTTTTTTTCTAGTCATCCTCGAATTTAATTGGAAAGCTAACTCTATGCCATTCAGCAATAATTAATTGCATTTTGGAATTCTTGTCTTAATTTAATTATCTCCTTAAATCAAAAACAAACCATTTGATATTTTTTTTTGCACAAAATCGTAGAACCGGTACTGTTTCAAATATTGTTTTGAAAAACACAAACAACCAACGCAAAAGTGTCTTAATTAATGATAATAAATAAATTTTCCCACAAAACAAAAAAAAACTAATCGAAGATTTTGGTTTTATTCCCAGCAAATAATTTCGGGAGGAAAGTTTTGAAAGAAACCCAATCACACACACACTTATACATATATATTTCCTTATATTGAGAGAATTAGCATAGCTGTGGGATGGAAAAACTGAGACAAAATCGCATTTAAATAGTTATGGGCTGGGTACCAAAACAAAAGACTTAAGAAAGAAACTCGCTGTCGACAGCGATTCCAATTTATTGGAGATCATAAATGTTTTAACGTGATACCTTGGTTAGTTTGTATTCGCGAAACCTTCTCGTATATTCATAATGCGGTAAATAAGGTTGTCAAAACGCGTGTTGAAAATTAAACGGGATGTATAATAACGTTCGGTGTGTATGTGGGTGTAAAGGATATCTGAATTTCAAAATCGTTCGAAAAAACTTTCTACATTGTAAACTCAATGTAAGAAAATCAATTACTTGAAAATATTACCTTGGATAGTCACAGAATAAATATTCATTAAAAAATCGACGCCTTGGATAGTCGCTGAAAAAAAAAAATCCACGCCTTGGATAGTCTCTGAAAAAATAAAAATCCATGCCTTGGATAGTCTCTGAAAAAATAAAAATCCACGCCTTGAATAGTCACTGAAATATTCTTTAAGAAATCC